AAATCTTTAAAAAATAAAATAAAATACCACACATACACCAACTCAACTTTTTATCACCAGATCATGGCACATGAAAGGACTCAATATTTATCTTGACAATGCACAGATCCAGAATATCTACTAATTCCAGGCTTAGGAAAGAAAAAGCGAGAGGAAAGATAAAACTAAGTAAAATAGCAAATTGCAAAAAAAGACTTCTAAGTAGGATCTTGTGAGGCTAGCTGCACAACCAATTCTCCTACATAAAGGGCCTCTGCTCCTTGATATCCCTTTCTATTTTCATAGGGTGACTACTCTGTCATAAGTTCTATTAATATCCCAGGATTGCCTTCTTCTTTTAGCTATACCTCATTTTTCTAAACCATACAAAATCAGACCATTTCTTTCTTTCCTTTATTATTTAATCAAGAATGATGACCTATTTCCTTATATGCATATTCACAAGTATCCCAAGTAACTATTTGTGAACTGGAGAGTACTTTTTATTATGAACCCTCTGAATACCTGAATTTGTTACCATCTGCAAGGATTAATTTGATCTTTTAAAAAATTTTTAAACACTCATAAAAGAGGCTACAAATGAGATCTTTTATGAGTAACATAAAAGGACTTTGTTTTAGCTGCTCAGATGCATTGTTTATGTTTCTTCCAGTTTCCCGCCTCTGTTGCTTAAAATTGAACTTAATAATAAGTGACCTTTATCATGTGGAGTAAAGTACTATACCTGCACTGTAGTACTGAAAAACGAAAAAGTATTATTCAAAAAAGTACTCGCTAGAGGGCAATAGAACCCTTTTTTGTACAGTACTATACAAAAATAACACATTGAATTTTCTTTATTTTTAAAGGTTTTATTGGTGAATTAGGGGAGGGGAACAGACAAGTTGCTGTCCTTTTGTTCTTCAGTCTAGCTGTGGAGGATGTTGCTTCACTGGCCCATGTTGGCACCATCACTGCGCTCTTCCCGAGTAAGGCAGACCAGCCGCCGGCCTCTGGACGGCCGCTCCAGGCGGCTCCCGGCAGCTCACATCAGCTGCCAGTCACTCACACTGGCTGCCGGCCACACATGGCAGCCCACTGCAGCCCCACTGCAGCCCACGCCGTCACCGGCAACCCACGCCAGCCCAGCCCCAGGTCGAGCTGCCGCCCACCATCACCGCAGAGGGCAGTGTCACCAGCCCTCATGTGGGATCCGAACCGGGGCCCCGCTGCCCAGAGCTGGCGTCCCAAGCCAGCTCTTAACCAACACGCCACTCGTCCGGCCCCACATTGAATTTTTTTAATTCATTTTCATGTCAGCCTTAAAATCTTTTCCTAGAAAGCACTAAATAGCTGTGACCTTCATAACAAAGAAGCATTTAGACAGTTAAAGAATGGAAAGCATGTTTTAGCTACGAGGCATGATCAAACAGTATAGTGAATGTTTAAATGAAAAAAGTTTATTACAGTAAAAGACACATTGCCATTAATCCCCCTCAAAATACTCCCCCTACCTTCAAACAAACTTATCCCATTATTCTTGCCACTTTTTGAAACAGCTCTGGAAGTCCTTCTCTCGTGAGTGTCTTGAGTTGCACTGTCTTGGCTGCCTCAATGTTCTGATTCGATTCAAAATGTTTACCTTTCATGGTCATTTTGATTTGGGGGAAGAACCAGAAGTCACACAATGCCAGATTCAGTAAATAAGGTAGATGAGGACATATCACAATGTTTTTGACAGAAATTGCCATACCAGAAGCGATGTGTGATACAGAGCTTTTCCATTGTGATGACAAAATACGATGAATGCC